GGTTAACGTAAAGTTACTCGTCGTCAGGCAACAGAAGAATACCATAATTCCTCCGTTCAATTAGGCCAAAGACATCGAGAGTCACGCAGACCTATAACAACCCAGCCACAACACTTAATTGCGAATAACATGCCTTACCTTAACACAGAATCGCCCACAGAATCCAACGTTTATATTTTTTCTACGAATCTTTGAGTTAACGTACTAAACATGAGTGGAATTTGCACCGCAGCGTCCCCACACCTTGATGCTCATGACAAGAATAGCATGTATAGTTATCTTTATTGAAGTGAATTAGGTTTAAATCGCCGTCATGCATAATTAATTAATTATATTTTTGCAATTTTACACATAATAATCCACGATGATCACATTACACAAAACTGAAATTGCACGTCAAAATAACACATTGTCAATATTTTTTGAGACCCCCCAAAATTTCACAAATCACGTTTTCAGGGGTGCCCATGTCTTATTAAGGGGAGCCGAGCTCCCCCTAGCTCCCCCGTAGTTCGCACCCTGCTCTTAGTGTTGGAACACAGATTCCATTCCAGATTCTGTTCCATTTCAGTCCTCTGTTAGATAAGCAGAATGTATGAGTGACATGAGTGTTGATTTGATCTGCTCATTAAATGTGTGATGCCAGGATCACCAGGAGTGAAGTGTTTGGGAGGATGATGAATCATATTTACAGTGCCGATATTCATCAGGCAGTCTATTTTTCTTTATTTTCTATTTCTCCAGAAATATTAAGCAAGTTTTTTTAAAGCTCCATCTTATAATATATATATACAGCACACCATGTTTTGGCTTTTGTAAGCTTTCCACATTTTTATGAAATTTGAGGTATTGAATAAATTTTAATCGCATCATTATAGTATTTACATACTGTTTGAAATCTGTTTGGCCTTTTCTCTCTTGCATCTAATGCATTTACTGCCATTAAATAGCAGTCTGAACCAAAGCTTAAAATCTTAACTGACGCTTTTATTCTTTTGATACTTCGCAAGCTCTGCTATTTTCTTTAGGAAACGCAAGGATTTTTCTGTACTCTTTAATTATTTATATGATTTTTTTTTATTTAAAATATTTTATTTAAAAGTTTCAGAATAATAACAAAATTGTAGAATAGAATTTAATGAGTTCATTAATAATTTTAGTAAAAATTTATAACTTTTTACCAACTGTGTATTTTTGCTCTTTTTTGCAGTGATCTTCTATCATCAAATTACATTGAGAGGCACATATCAGAGGAGGGGAATTCAGTTGTCAACAAAGTGAGTACAAACTGTCATTCCAATATCAAATAAATATCTGCTTTAGACCAGAAATATCTTATACCTTTAGCTCATGATTAATCCACAAAAATACTTGAAAAAATGTCTCCACCTTATTCTTGCCGTAAGAGTGGGTGCAGCCATTTGTAATTTTTATGGGACTGGCTTCTAGTGTCATCCGCGTCCAGCTATTTTTAGCTGTACAAAACAGCTCGTTTTGCTGCTTGATATTGCAAATTGGTGTGTCTTGCCTTATTATTTTAATGTATTATCTTAATTATGATCACACACTGGTTTGTAGTGCAAACAGTTTTACCGTTTACTGCATGTTGTTATTCTTCTCGTTATTTTCCTATAGCGGCTAATGAACCGGAAGTCTCGGCCATAGGCTTACTTCCGCGTTGAAGAATAAGGTGGATACAACCAAAAAACTTTAGGTGATCTTATGATATTGGATGTTGTTTTCTGGAGCTTAAAAACTCCCACACAAATAAGGTTGGTAGCACTTAACCAGAGGTTTTACCACTTACAGAAAAGTAGTCCCAATTTTTTTCAATGTTACAGTAAACATTTACCTGAAGAATTCATTTAAATGCCTTGGCCCCCTTTGTTCCACTCTATGACTGCGTGTTTCACTCTGGGACAGTGACTATAGTTTGATCAGATCTGTCTTTGAGCCACTCTGGGACTCTCAGCTTCATTCTGTCAGCGTACTGAGGCACGTGTGTGTTCAGATGGGACACATCACACCCAGAGCAGAAGGTGTTTGCCTGTTTTAGCCCAGTGGCAGATTGTTCCTGCCGCACACTCACACAGGAGCAGGGATACAGTGTCCTATTTGTGTGCTGCATGTTGGACACCCATCATTGTATAAAGGTGTGTATTTTATATAGATTATGCATAGTGGAATGAACGTGCCCAGGTTCTCTGTTATCCTTTAGAAACTAAAGGGCCCATATTCTGTGATTTAACTTTGATACAGCCCGTATAACATGTTTTATGTTTTTTTATTGATCTGAGTTTGATTGTGATGAAGGCTTCAGTGAAGACATTCAGATCCACAGAGGCCTTACGCCCACAACCCAGCCTATAAAGCCTGAGGAAATATTGTGCATGTAAGGTTACAAAGGGCTCTTTAGACGCTGTTTTGCTTTTATGGATGAATGAAAAAAATAGAGCGGTGGGTTCTGTGAGAAAGGAGGGAATAACAGAGAGATGGATGAAGAGGCAGAGGATGAAGAGAGAGAAAAAGAGTCACTGAAGGGATTCTAGAACAGAAACACAGATATATTTAGCTTCATCTCCCCACTGCAATGGTGAACAACCTCTTAGTTTAACTACAGATTTAATAAATACAAAGGGATTATATGAATCATACAAAAACACTATCATATCTATAGAAGCCCTACATGTATATTTCTCTGAGACCATATCTTATTGGTGGATCTAAAAGAAGACATCTTGCTATTTTGTGAGATACCATATATCTATAGGGGTTTGACCACAACAACATAAAAATAATTGGTTTTATTAATTGGTTTTAAAACATACATGCTGACATCATAATTAAGGAAATCACAAGGAAAGGGGAACAGTAGGTTTTATTATTTTAAGATTATCATTAGTATTTTAGAGTTTCTTGAATATAAACGTCTCAAAGAATTTTTATCTATTACAAAGAAAAAAAAAAATCCTTATATAGTTTACGTTATATATTTTCATCTGCTGAAGAAACACTACATGTAAATAGGAGGAAAAACTAAATTTTAAATTAAATATAAAATATGACTATGAATAAGTTTGAGAAAACACATTTTGCTAATGTTTGCACAAGTGAAGAATAGAAAATAAGTTTTTATAGAAAATAAAAATACATTTTATACAAATAAATATTCTATAAAATTAGATGAGAAACTATGTACAGCGTTTGTCTCCTGTATGTTTTTGGAAGCTGTGATAAAAAATCATCTTGAGAAAATAGCTGTTGTCTTATGATGCCATTGATAATTTTTATGTATACTAGTGTGTTTAAAACTACAAATAATAAACAGACTACCATTCAAATGTTTGGGGTCGGTAAGACTTTTTCAAAAGTCTTATGCTCACTAAGGCTACATTTATTTGATCAGCAAAAACAGAAATATTATGAAATATTATTGCAATTTAAAATAACAGTTTTGTATTTTCATATATTTTAAAATGTAATTTTATTCCTGTGATGCAATGCTGAATTTACAGAAACTTTTCTTATTATTATCAGTGTTAAAAACTGATTTTGCTGCTTAATATTTTTGTGGAAACTGTGATACATTTGATAGGATTCTTTGATAAATAGAAAGATAAATTTATTGTGTCCTGGCTGAATACAAGCATACATTTCTTAATGCCCCCAAAATTTTGAATGACAGTCTATTTTATAAAATTTCAGGCATCTTCTTACCTTTATATACTGCATGAGAAGGCAGCATTTTTTACATTTTGGACACAGTCTGTCTCTCTGTGATTCTAGGCACTAATGCATGCTGGGTCATTAGTCTGAAAGGGGTTGTCTCTACAACAACTGCACTCTTCAGGAATGTCTCTGTGTGTGTGGTAGAGACTGCCCTCAGCTCTTGATTAGCAGAGAACTCTTGAGGACAGAAAGTGCTACATGTGGAAAAAAGAGGCAGAAGTGCTCCAGAACAAGCTATAGAAAAGAGAGCAGTAAAGGAATTGATAAAACTCTCCATATGAAGCTTTTTGTCCAGTGCAGAGAGAGAGAAAGAGAAAGGGATGAAATGAAATTGATATGCTGGTAAATGCTGCAGCTTCAGTCCTCTGAGAAAAAGCAGGAAGAGAAAACCTGCAGCCATAATGGCAGTCGAGCACTTACACTAAAACATTTCATAAATAACATACACACTCAGGAATACTCTTACAAGTCTTCTGATCACTTCAGTTCAAACAAAAGTTGCCAGTATAAATGTTGACCCACACACATGCAGAATTTAAACATTTAATGTCAACATAAAATACAAAGATTCATGATCTTGGCCTTATTAGTGATATTGCTTTTATACAAGTTCAATATACAAGTTAATGTTAAGTAACAACGTACATCTTAGACACAATAATGCCTGTTACTTTTAACTGCCAAAGAAAATAGTGCCAAACAAAGCCACAACAGAACCATTGTGTCTTTGAGTAACAAAGTGGCGTTTAGTTCCTGAATGAATCAGCGTTTGTGAATGATCCAGTTGAATGAATGATTCAGTGACTCGCTCTTAGAGAACGAATCGATTCAAAGAATGAGTCGGTGATTCACTTATAATGATAGTCACTTGTCGCCACCTACTGGCGTAACGATGTAACATACAGAAAGAGTAATTGAAAAATCCCCACTACTATTGCAAATTTACATTTACTTTTATTAATTTAGTAGCTCTTGGAACACTGGAGCTAACTGTTGTAAAAACAACAACAACAAAAAACAATATATAGTTAATTTTTTTAATTATAACTCTTAAAATAAAATGTACCTTGTCTCATTTGATTATTTTCTTTTTATTTGGAAACTGATGGAAGAAAATCATGATTATGCATAATGGATGAATAACAAATTCGGCAACAGCTGCTTCACATTATGCACCACTTGGGTTAAAAACAAAGCAATAAAACTAATATTATAAAAGGGATGGTTCTTCTGAATTTTCCTACTGAATTATGATTGAATTAGCCACATTTAAAGCCATTAACAGTATGTGCTGTTTGTAATTATTGCTTGTTTCTCCCTGCAGGGTGGAGAACACTGTTACTACCATGGGAAAGTGCGTGATATTCCGAAGTCATATGTGGCGCTTTCAACTTGCCATGGATTACAGTAAGTCCCTCTATAGATGTGCTGCATGTCTGAATGAACATGCAAACACACACCAGTTTACAAAAGCAGCGTGACATGCTTTAGTTTTGACTGCATGCTGTTTACTTGCAGTTGCCCACAGAACTGTCTGTCTCTTTCTAAGACACATTCATAAATAAACACATGTTAGCAGGCCAAAGCTGCGATTATCCCATTCAACAATTATAGAGCTGTATAATTACAGCATGCTATTATCCTCCTCTCATATCACACACTGATGCTCTCAGCGCTCTTTGTGCCTGCATGTGTGTGTTTCTGTCGTTCTCCCCTGTACTGTTGCTGTAATGCTCATTGCATCACGTCTGGCCTTTTGATCCACTACTGCAAGCTGAAAATTGTATATTTGTTGTGTTTGTAAGATTTATGTTTGTATTATTAGCTTCCTGCTGTATTCTCTGCATAGCTGAAGTAAACCAAGCTGTGTTGCTGAGCCACTCGTGTGCCTGAGAATTGAGTTAGTCTCTATAGAGCCTTACGCACATACACCGCCTCTCTGCGTGGCCCTCTGGGATAGCTCATTTCCTTCCGTCTGTATTTTTAGTGAGAGAAGGAGTCAGGTCAGATCCATCTCTCTCTCTCTGTCTCTCGCTCTGTATCTGAATGCACAGAGTCAGGTCAAATGTAGCTCAGAAATAGAGCGGCAGGGCTCTTCACATAGTCATCACGCTCAAACATTTACAGCCTAAATATCTTCTCCTCAAAGAATTACATCTGCACAGATTTAGGACGAAATGAATTGCTGTTGTTGTTTATTTGAATTCACTAAAGGACAAAAGAATAAATAATTCAACATATTGTATTACAATACAGTGTACTCATTGTAAAGTTATTATTTCAGGACAGTGTTCACATGGTATTTGTTAAATGTTGATATATTTTTTAATTAATTTATATAAAATATTTGTGTACTTATTTTAGTTGATCAGATAAATATAGATGTCATTTTAGTAAAATCGATTAAAACGAATAAATAATGATAAAATATTGACTAAATTGAAAGAATATTTTCATCAACAGACAAAAACTATGATTAAATAATAAATCCAAAATAAATGAGTGAAAATGAATACTGGAACTGACCTATGTTAAATCGTTTGTTATTATAATTTTTAATCATGCACTTTAGTATAAAAGAACATGTATATTTGTTAAATATAGGTTTGTTCTTTGCAATAAACAATATAGTTGTTACAGAGCTGACGAGACGTGAGACGTGCGGATCCATCTGCAAGGCTTTATTGTGGAGAAGACAGAGACGTGGTCATGAAGCAGGCAGGGTCAAACAGAGGCATCGTGCTGAGTGCAATCAGTGCAATGCATGATGGGAAATGTAGTCCGGGGTGATGTGCAACAGTGTGTAGTGCGAGAGTCAATGAATAGGAAAGTTCGTGGACCGGATTCGTGACAATAGTATAACGTGTTTTAAAGGGAAACATCTCATGATTAAAAATTGCACTATTGCTCAGACGCTTGGGGTTATTAAGTTTTTAATAACTTGAGAAGTCTCTTATGCTGGCAAAGCTGCATTTATTTTATAAAAAATACAGTAAAAATTGTTATATTGTGAAATGTTATTACAATTTAAAATAACAATTTAAATTTTCTATTTTAATATATTTTACAGTGTAATTTATTCCTGTGATTTAAATCTGAATTTTCAGCATCATTACTCCAGTCTGCAGTGTCACATGATCCTTCAGAAATCATTCTAATATGCTGATTT